TGGCTGGATACCTCATGAATAATTAATGAGTATGAGAATGTCTTGTGCTGAATTGGTTATCTGCATGTTAAAATAAGTTACTTGTGTAGTGTTTAAAAAACGAGCAGGAGTGCTTTATCGGGAGATATAGACACGAGGCCAAAGGCCGAGAGTCTATATCCCCGATAAAGCACGACTGCGAGTTTTTTATACTACTTCTAGAACTCCAACATCCAGGAATTGTTATCATTTTAGAAAAAAGCTAAAAAATGCGAAAACAGAGTGACCTTGGAGAACGGTTGCACATAATCGTTTTCAACATGCCAATCAGTTGTGCGAACTATAAAGCAAAGAATAGTTGTTACTTTGGTAACCAAGGCATTCGCTTGGTGGTATTTTGACTGTTACATCAGTTTAAAAAGAAAAAACAATCAATGTTTCTTAAGAAAASGACAGTTTTTCGAGAATAAAACGACAACTAGAGTCACAAAAAAAGCTCCCCGTTTGATCTGTTTGTATAARTGTAAAAGACAACGATGGTTAACATCTCATGCTTGATTTGATTTTTTTTATAATTCTCTTGAAAAGTCTAACACGCCTTTTAGCTGACAAAAATGCCCAAACTTCAATGCACATCGGCCTTAGTCATCGTGGATGTGTCCGAATAAACCACCTACGGCCATTTAAAAATGTTTTCAATTCTTTAAAAATATGTTATCTGTATTAATTCGCCTTTTACAAAGTAGATGGTTTGAACTAATTAAGCGTGCATCGTCTGCCTCAATTATTCAGGAGGCATATCTGGGTAGCCCTGATGGGCATTAATAGCAACACCATCTTGGTGCAGTTTTATTTTTACGACGGTCTTCACTGAATAAAAGAATATATAATAATGCCTTTGAGGATAAGGCTGCACAAATAAGATGCCGAAACTGGAGTATTGGAAAATGAAAAGTATTGCTATAGCTTGCATTGGCTAAACAATTTTAAAACGTCTTATGCCTGATGTATTTTGTTAGCTGCCGTCATCTTCCCTAATCCCTCAAGAGCTGTTACAAAGACTTCTTTTTTGTTTGTCAGTCGTTTTTTCACCCGGGTTTTTTCATCTCATGTTTCTTTCTCTTTCTTTACTTTTCTCCTTTTTCCTCCCATTCCTCCCTTCCTTCTACACATCATTTCCTCCCGTCCTACCCACTCCTACCCTTGCAACACTCATGTCTTCTTTCTGTTACCTATCCCACCATTAATTAATCCTTCCTACTCAGGCCTTCACCTTTCATCCTTCCATTTTTTCATATCCTCCCTTTCTACCATTCTTTCTTCATTCCTCATTTCCATAGTTCCTCCTTAACTTCAGACCCGTCCTCTCTCCATCAACATTTCAATTTTCTTTCTATTTTAATGTACTTGTTTCTTGTTTTCTTTTTATCTTTCCCTTCTTACTCCTTCCCATATTTCTTCTTCTCCTTTATTCCACCTTAACTCGAATCNCAATCGTGTGCAAACTAATAGATTCCAAAATTTTGTAACTGTAAAATTCCAAATGTAAGTGTTTTTGTCCTTTTCTAATTATTTACCAAGCCTGTAATTCAGTATCACCATTACTGCTAGTGGCCTTAATAAACAGTTTTATTATTATTATTATTATTATTATTAAAGGATCGCACTCTTTCAACCAAAAGAGCTTTTGGAAATACTCGAATTTACTGCGTGTATTGTTTTTAAAATAGATTGATAACTACAAGAATGGAGCTCATGACTTCTCAACACCAGTGTGAGTATTACTGAGTTTCTGCACAAATAATTCGGAGCGACTATAGAATACCCATCCACTTATACATCCCTTACCCCGGGTTCTGTACCGGCAGTTGTTAGCGCCTTTAATCGTTTAAGAATGAGACAACTATTCATAGGTGTAATATAAATTGTACTGGTGTTCGGTGATGTTCACTGCCGACTGCAGGTACAGTAAATCAGGTGAGGGTAATGAGTGGACAGGTATTCTATAGTTCAGCCAATAATTCAATGTGTAGTCAGTTATAACACAGTATTATAACCATAGTATGGGCATAATTAAGAGTAAGGCCCAAAACTCACAAATTCAACCTATCCCAGTCAACACGAGGCATTGTTCATTTTGAGGGTTAACGTTTTGTTTAGCATGACCATATACCCTCTTTTGGCAAGGCCAGATTAAACAACACAATTCTGTCTATTGCCATCGCATGCAAGTACATTGCCCTGTTTACAATACAATGGAAAAAAATTGTTCCTGGTAGCATGGTTACACTCCAACCCAAGCAACCCTGGGAAAGTCAGCTTTTCTATTAATTTTTGTAAATGAAGATCAAGGGTTTACATTTTTAGTTTCCTTGCCTATAAGAGTTATCCGACCGATAGGTTGACAAAAGGGTTACACTTTTGTTACCTAATGTAAACACTTCTCTCCAGCAGCCAGAAAAACCCTAGACAACTAAATGTCTTGAACATGCAATGAAATCATTGCCAATCTCTCAATCATATCATTAGTCATCCTGATCACAAAGGACAGCTTTTCACATATAAATGCTCATTAAGCTTGGCTTAGGTAGACGGGTAACCATGGTACCTGGGACAACTTTTTCTGATATAAACAAAGCCTAAGTCATCCTTACAACATGGCTACAGCAATGATGTATTAAAGTTTGTTCCATCTTTTGCCTTTTCAGGTCAAAACCCATTCACAAAGACAAGGTTAGTTAATGTATTATTTTTAT